CAATAAATATTTATAGTTAATAGTAACACGTACAATTATACTTTACAAAATATATTCAAAACAAGACATAAAATGACATTAAAGACGTCTGTGCCATGTATTTTTACAACTCATTGAATTGACTGTTTCAACAAATCCTACAGTCCAAACCCTACCAGCTTGAATACAAGAAAGGGCATGCTCAAATCCGTAAAACCCAGGTTACAGCAAAAATTTGTAAAAGAGAATCAGTTTTACTTCTTCAGTGTTGTAAGTGCATTGTCAATGTCAGTAGCTAAAATTGAAGCTAAGTGATGAAAAATTTGCATTCACAAGAGGCCCAAATTATGTAATGTTCCTTAGTTAAATACTGAAGTCCTGAGTTTTCTGAGACTTAGTGAGGTCTTAAATGCATGAGGTTTTATTAACATGATTATTTGTAAAGACAATAAAATTATGAGTCCTTTTTGTCACTATATGACTCTGGGAATGAATTTTAAATTTGGAGGAGAAATACATCTTATCTTCTAGAAACATGTGGGCTCACAGAAGGCTCACAGAGAGGGTAGGTAGTATCTGGGTCAGTAACAGGGCACCAGGGCTGGCACTCAGATTCCTAATTCCATACCTGAGTTCCTCACCTGGCACCTTAGTCCAAGAGGTATTTTCTTTTAGAGGTGGTTCACGTAGCCTGGGTCCCAAGCATCCACATCTTATTCTTAGGGAGGGGAGCAACTCCTCTTCCTGCCACTTTTTCTCCAACTAATCCTGATTCAGTGAAGGATTGCTTTCACGTGGGTCCTCTCTTTTAGTCCTTCACCAAGTTTTGTTTCTCTCATCAATTAGTCACAAGTGGGAAATTTTTCCCAAGGCTTCTGCTCACCACTGACTCAAGTCTCTGCATGGGCTGAGGGTTCAAACAACTGTACTGAGGACTTACCCGCTTAGCAAATTTGTGCTGCTTTTCAGCCTTTCCTTCAAGAAGTCCCTAACCTATGTGTTTGGATGCATGGTGTGTGTGTGTGTGTGTGTGTGTGTGTGTGTGTGTGTGTGTGTTGCTGGACTCCATCTGTGGCCCTAGAGTAAGGAACAGAGTTTTCTATTAGGTACTGGGAACCGAGTTTCTCTCACAGGCTGGGTTTGCAAAGCAGTGCTGAGCAATAGTGCGGATGTGGACTCATGAGTCAGGTTCCCATCTATATTGGACCATTCAACTATGCCATGTGACCTTAGGATCACTAAGTAATCTCCCTGACTTGCAATTTATATGTCTAGTGCTGTACTTGGCACAACAGTGCTTGGCAAAATTGAGTCATTCCCATCTCAGTATGTCCAGAGCCACAGGACTCTATACAGCTTTGGGACAAATGCAACACATTTAGTGGCCTGTGTTTTTGTTCCCAAGGATCCCACCCCTGTGGGCCCTCCATTTCATTGTAACATGGAACACTGTTCCCACTAACATGCCCCCTTGCAGCAGCCAATGATGACCCTGTTCCTCCCTTGTTCCAAATTAAACAGCCTTGCTTCCAGGTGCATCAGAATATCCGGTAAATTGGGAAGCAATGATCAGCACTGTTCTTCCATGTCCCAAAATGGGCCATGAGAACAAAGTGTAACAGAACGAAACGAAATCAGATTAAATTGAACTAGATGAGATTGCCTTTTTGTAAATCAAATATGCTCTAAGACTGACGGTTTTGGGTTTCAGGCTCATAGTTTCATGGGCCTTTTAATCTAATGGTCACTAGTAAGTGAATTTAATATTTATAGATGCCCATAGTAAAGGATATAAAGCAGCTCTTTGGCCAGCAGGGAAGGAGGTTTGGATCTGATGAGGTAATGAGTGTAACAGTGCTTTATAGACCGTGAACACTAGGTGAATGCAATGTGTTGTTTTGAATTAATCATGGACATGAATATTATGACCCAGAGGCTCTTAAATTTATGTGCCACATTGAAACTTTAAAAAATATTTAAATTCCACTGAATGCATTACTGATGTGAGGTTTTAGGAAAGTTTGTTCTCAGTGTCTTCTTTGTTGATTGCTCTGCATATATTTAGCTGCAACTAATGCTTGTCCCATTGTCACTTAACAAAGGGTGTCTTTGAAGGCCAGAGTTATAGGAAGAGAGCACACAATATTTGTGTTGTGGTGACAGGATTCCCGGGTGGGACTGGAATGACCATCCAGATACAGAAGCAAGTAAATCTTGTGAAAGTTTGCTGTCACTGAATAAATCCCAGAGAGCTTGGTCCCAAGAGTGAAGAATTCCTGTTTTTAGCTAATAATCCACTTCATGAAAATGCCATTAAAACTTTGACAGATGTGCTCCCTTCCCTGCAGAATCCCAGGGCTAATTCTAACTTATTCTTTCAACTCCCAATGTGAGGGGCGCAAGCAGTGAAGAAGTTTGTGTCCCTCCAGTTTTACCACGACACAAATGGATGTTATTCATTCAACACTCAGGTACTCAGGTTCCCTGGGGGTGATTGGATCTATCTGGCTTCTGGGAAAGGTGACACAGCCACAGATGAGGGTGCCATTCAACGTATCATCCCCAAACCAAGCTATCTCTTACCGGAAACCACCTGACGTGTGAAGAGACTCGGAAACCAATGACCAACTGCTACTGCTGCCACAAACAAGGACTTGAGAACCCGAGTACATGCTCTACAGTGGAGTTCATTTACTTCTATTCATTGTGCATTTTCACAAGACTAGCTGGGTTCATCTGCAGCCTCCGCTACATAGTTTATTTTCCTAAGGGTTCTTCATCCTCCAAGAGGAAACCAAATTGTTTGTGGGACAAGAAGGGAAACCCAGGGCTTGTTAATGAGGCAGAAAGCCAGTTTCGGTGGGGGCATGAGAGCAGCTAGAAGAACAGGGAGGGATTAGCCATTCATGTTTATGGGGAATCATAAAGTCATCAACAGGGAGGGTCCTTGTCTGCACTGCGCAGGGAGGATCAGCTTGATGTGCAATCTTGCTCCCAACAGCAGCTGCACCTTCCCTGTCGGCAGCAGCCGTTGGTGGGAAGCCTGCTTTGTTTATTGCTTAATCTATCACTGTTGAGCTGCCTGCTTCAGGGAGGCTCAATTTAAGATAGATTGAAAGGTAGTATCTGTCAATTGAATAAACACAGATGGTTTTCCAGAGCAAAAATTGATTTTTTTCCCCTCGCCAAAGACATAAGCGCTAATCGTGATTATGTTTGGAAGCCAGGCGTGAAATGTGTCAGTCCCAGCCCCTGTCACACTCTGCCCTGCTGAGAGGTGACACTACACGGGTCTTTGGTCTCTCTCGTGAGGTTTTAGGTTTTTGAGGTGAAATAAAACTTTGATTTCCCTAGACAAGGGTCTAAGTAAGTCCTTCCTAGTGAGAAAATCGGAGACAACCCAGTAGTTAATTCACAAAATTAGTTTTATCAGTTCTCGGTCAGTGGTTGGCAAAGGTCTCTTCCAGCACTTTCACTTAGGAGGCTCAAAGAAGTAACAAGATTTTCCCGAGGACACACAGCTATGCTAGAGCTCAGTCTTCTCACCTCTGTGCCACAGTGTTAACCAGGAGGCAAGAAGAGGAGTCTTATTCCCCAAATGGCTCTGGAAGGAGATGGGTCAGGGATGTGTGAACTAGTGCCCAGATCCTGTATGCCAGAAATCCAGAGAATGCTGTGTATGTGGGCAACTAACCAGACATGGATGGAGTCCGTTGTATTCAAGAGTTTTAAAGGAAGCCACAGGCAAAGTTGTGGAGCAGATACTAGGTACACAAAGTTGAAGATGGGTGAGTAGGAAGAGTACTCTTTGAATAATGAGAAGATTTAGCAATACATTTCCTTGTGTTTCTTTCTGCTGTAATTCCATAACATTGCAAGCTCATGGAGGGAGCATCCCAGCACTCAAGAGGCTGAGGCAGGAGAATTACTCTGAGTTCAAGACCAGCCTGGGCTACATAGTGAATTCAAGACCAACCTGGAATACAAAGCAAAACTCTTTATATTCTTAAGTGAAATAAATAGGACACACTTGAATAAATACTGAATAGTTTCTCTGGTGTGAAAAACTAAAAGTGTAAATAAGATCCAAATGGTATAATTGGGAGTGTGAAATAGGAAGAAAATGGCTAAAGAGGAAGTGGAAAGGGGAAGGGAAAGGAAAAAGTGTGAAAAAATGAAAAATGGAAACAAAGTCTGTCAGTAGGGAAGGGAGGAGGGGGGAAAGGGAGGGAGGGGTATGGGCGAAAAACAAGAACCAAGACACATCGTGTAAATGTACAAGATCCCAATGATAAATGTAACTGTATTGTTTCCTTTAAATGTACCAATAAACATAAGAAAAAAAAATCCTGTCTCCAAAAACCAAACCAAACCAAAGAGACAGAAATAGAAATGAGGATGGGACTTAGAGAACTTTAGTGATAGAGGGACTTAGCACTGTCTTCTTATTCTCGAGAAGAAAAAAATGAGTCCAGGGAAGGTAAGTTGACAACCAAGTCATATTAGCCAGAGACACAGTTGGGATGTCAAGAAATCTTGGTCCTTTCAGCTACACTATCTGGCTTGCTTTTCAAACTGTGTGATGTAATTATGGACTACCAGGAAAGCAGGTGTCTGCAGAACAGACGAGCAAGTGGAAAGAAGTGAAGGGATTTTGCTCCAGCTAATACAACTGTCAACACGCATCTATGCAACCGTTTTGGTCCTAACTCTTAAAGCTCCACAGACAATGAGCATTTCCTCAATTAACACAAAAATCTTTTTAACTGTGTCATGAGGAAGAGAGAGCTGACTGTTTTTATCTCCCCTACAGAGAGCAAGTCAGAAGTAAAATTGCCTTGGGATGTAAGGGATACATATTGGGGTACATTTGTAATATATGGATTCATCTAAAAGTGAGTCTAGGGCCGGGTATTTAGCTCAGTGATTCTGCTGCCTGTCTCGCAAGCACAAGGTCCTGAGTTCAATCCCCGGTACCAAAAAAAAAAAAAAAAAAAAAAAAAAAAAAAAAAAAAAAAAAAAAAAAAAAAAAAAAAGATTCTGTAGGTTTGCAATCTGTCAGAATGTGCCCCACCTTTGAGTCAAGAAAAATGTGAATCAGGGCTTCTGAACCCTTTTAGAGCCAATTTTACTCACTTGGAAAAGGAAAACATTTCAGCCCAGTCTTTTTCTGCCCAGAGGTTATTTTGCGTTCACTCTTTTTAAGTAGAAATAAATCTGTACCTGTTTTTTAATCAATTCTTAAAATGAAGCCCCTCACACCTTTCTTAGACATATTTAGACAGAGACACATGTTATTGAAATTGTGTTCATTTTCTCCAATAAACGTTAGGGGAAGCACAGCTTCAATGTAAATATGTTCCTATCTCCATTCAGACAGGATCCCTTTTTTCTTATGTTAAAATCAGTGCTTCAACATAGTAGACAAAGATAGTCAAATCTAAGTAAACACACTTGGCTCAAAACCTGTACACCAAGAAGAAATACTATCCTTTATGCACTCATAAATATTTGGTGAATTGATTGCATGATCTAGTTTTTTTTTTTTCCTTAAAGGATTTTTCTTCTATGATAAAATGGCACCATGATGATTAAAATTGGGTTATAGCACTCAGGACTTCAAGGAATAAGAATTTAAAATGTACCAATAAACTTAATGAATAAAAAAGAAAAGTGAGAGATAGTACCTTACAGCCACACGTGGATCTTTATGTATGTGGCTATGCATTTGGTTGTATTTTTGCCTCAATATTTTGTATTGAGTATTTCTTTTGCATCCTTGGTCACATTTTTAAAAAATCAATGTTTAGAGATTTGTCTTACATTAAACTAGCTTCCATTATTATAAATTTGGGGACTGCTTCTCAGACACGAGGCTCTTTCAAAGAATTGACTTTCACGTTAGGAATGCAAATGAAAGTTGCTTCTCAGTTTATGTACAATGCTATTCCCGAAAAAGGCGTCAAGTCATATTTTTAAAGTATTAGCTTTTACTTAAAGCAATGACAAGGTGGCATCTTTCACAAAGTAGTCAATGCATGGTTGCTTTGCGATACAAAGCGAGTTGCTCATATAGCATCTATGATTTAATTGGTCAAGGTTGTATACAGTATGTGAACTTGATGCTTAAAGTACTAATTTCCAATTTGTTCCCTTTTCTCTTCTCCATCAGAAGCATTCACAGGGGAACGTACGCCTTACTTGTGAGGCTTATGAAAGGGGAAACACAATAGTGATCCCCTTGGGCTTCTCCCACCCACCTGCACCACTCCTGAGCCTTCTGAAAAGGTCTTTAGAGGGGATAAAGACAACGGACTTAGGGGTCCTGGCCTGCCATAGAGCAAACTGAGGGGCCACGGTCAAAGGCTGGTCTACACGTACCCCTCGTGGCAGATGTTCCCATTGATGAGGCTGAAGGTAGCCACCGAAGGGTTGGTGCTCTTGATCGAGGTCATACAGGTAGTACTTCTGCCAGTGCTGTGGGACCGGTTCATCAGGCCAGGCTGGCAACAGAGAAGCTGAGTGTTGAACTGCTTCCTGAAACTCTTGCTCAGCAAGTAGAGAGCAAATGGGTTCACGCAGGAGTTGGTGAAGGCCAGGAGGCGCGCACAGATGCTGCTGATGAAGTGCAGCATGGAGGTGTCCACTTCGGAGTAGTGGTAGGAACGGTACAGATAGATGATGTGGTTGGGGAGCCAGCAGAAAGCAAAGAGGCCCACAAACACCAGCACGGTCTTGGCAAGCCGCTTCCGGGACTCGATCTGAGGAGAGAAACCGCATGGAGACTGGGTGACCAGGGAACAGTGCTCAAGAAAGAGAGCCAAAGATTCAGACAGAGAATCAGACAGGGGAAAACATGAGGCCAACGCGAGCTCGCAGAGCCATAGAAAAAGAATTCAGCAGGGAAGGAAGAGAGAGACTGCCAAAAATGGGAGAAAAGCAACTGAGACGGAAAGAAAAGAAAAGAAAAGAAAAGTAAAAAACACACAGATGGATGCGCCAAGAAACAGAAAGCCACGAGGCAGAAGAGAGTCAGAACGGGCTGCTGAGAACGGATCTTTAAGCAAAGTTGATTACATGCTCGAATGGGTTGCACAATGCAATTCTAGTAAGTGCGTTGCCCTCTTTTTCTCGGGAGAGTTGGGGTGCATTCATCAGCCATAGAGCTTCATGCCTTTCTTTGCTCCACAGTGAAATAATTTCTCCTGCCTTCTGATGCTCAAAACAGCAGTCAGTTTTGTTCTTCCTCATTGGCCAAGCCAAGGTAAATCTTTACTATTACTAATGTATAATCTCAACTTATTTCTGGACTATACTCCATAGGAAGATCAGACAAAGCAGGGTAAGCATTTCCGTTTGCTCCCAATTCCCTCTGCTACCTCAAGGGGAAACTTGTTCCTCATTAAGGAACTTGGGGTGCAGTGCATGATTGCCACTGAGAGCTCTTTCAAGGAAGGAAACAGTCTTGCTGAACAACTACTACTCTTCCTTGAGCATTGAGACAAAAACAAAAAAAATTTTTTTGAAAGGTGAAGACTTCAAGTGAGTCAGCTATTCATCCTACTTTGTTTTAATCCTGAATATCACAAGGTCTTCATGTGAGCTAAAAGCAAGAAGAGTTGACAAAGAAAAGAAAGCCGGAGCTCCCAGTTTCTACCATTTGACCATATGAGTAAAATATGGGGGTCCATAGGGGATGGGGGGGTCTGGCTCATATGGAGGGCATTGTGGGTGCTGCTAGCATTGCATACACTGTGTCCTGTAATCCTCCAGGCACTTTACCATGTGGGGATCTATACCACAGATGAGAAAACTGAGACACAGAGTGGGTGAGTAAGTCTGTATTTGAGTTCAAATCAGTGTGAGCCTCTCTTAAGCAATTTACTTCTTTTTTCTTCAATCAACATCATTTTCCTGCTCCTTCTGCATTCTTTCCATAAGGTAACTCTCTGCTTTGCCCAACAATGTGACTGGAATATAAAGAAGCATCTGGAAAGTAGATCCTACCTTCTTTTGTTGCAAAATCAAGTGATATGACCACCTAGTACTGTATTTGTCAGTGAGGACCAAAAGAAATGAAGGGCCCAAATCCCCAGGGAGGAAATGAATCTACCCAAGCACCCACCTGCTTTTTGACCTGGATATTCCCTTCCACGGGGAGATTATAAGCACTCTGGATCAGATTTTTGGCAATGAAGTAGTAGTAGACGGAGATGATTGACAGTGGGATGATGTAGAATACCAGAAAGGAAGCCATGGAGTGGATTTTGGGGTGCAACTCGTTAGAATGTGGGTATGGGGCACAGCTAATGAAGGTCTTGTTGGTGCTTTCCTCGTGGAAGGGATGGAGGTCAGAAAACACAGCTTCCGGGATAGCCAGCAGCATGGAGATGATCCAAATCAAGGCAGCTTTGAGGCAAATCTTCATCAGGCCATGAGACGCCTGGATATCCATTGGCCGGACGATGGCTTTGTACCTGGAGCAGGAAAAAGGAAGTGTTCTGCAGAAGTTGCTTAATATTGTGGAGTCCAAGGCTAAGCTGGAGTAAAGCAAGTCAGATATCTGAGGTGCAATATTTAAGGAGGTTCATGAACTCACGGGCTCTGAATTCACCTGACCCTGATGTGAGCTCCTCCTTAAATTTGACGCTCCAAGCTTGCCTTTTCCCTCATCCTACCTGGGATGCCTTCCCCCTTCTCCACCAAGAACATTCTGTCTACATTCTTACACTTTCTTTCCCCTTTCTCTTTTTTTTCTCTCAGCTTAGAAATGTTTTCCAATTTTTATTCATTTTAAATTCATAAGTAAAAATTGTACATATTTATTGTGTGCAATATTGTATTTCAAAATATATAGACATTATAGAATGGCTAAATTGATCTAATTAACACATGTACTACCTCACATACTTATCTTTTTTATAGCAAGAACACTTAAAATCCACCCTCTGTGATTTTCAAGAACAGAACACATTGTTATTCACTAAGCCACCTGTTGTACAATTCACAGTGGCTCATGACTTTAAGAAAACTTCTCAGAGAATCTCATGCTCCTTTCATTTTCCTTATTAGATCAGAGAAATAATAAAGCACATTGTTTAAAGAGACACACCAAGACAAGGAACTTGGGTTTTTTTTCAGATCTTTCATTTTGAGTATTCAAATAGAATTCAAGGAAATTTAAGTCATTAAGTGTATTTTAAATATGCTTCTTCTTTCTTTCAAAGGATGCAGAATAAATGGTCCACTGAAACTTTTTTCCCGAGAAGGAGCTCTCTAATTGTCAAATTAATCTTTCTCTTGCCCTCCTACTCTCTTTCAGCCTTATCTTCTCTTGAAGTACACATTCAGGTCCTTACTGGTTCCTATTTGTGCCCTTATCTTGGTTTGAGTGCAGACGTGAGGTTAAAAGAATAAAAGGTTTATTGGAGAGTACCTGTGAAAGGAAATGGGGGAAAGGAAGACGGACTGGGCAGAGGAAGCTGTCAACCTTAATGCAGACCTGAACAAGTCCACACCAGTGAGGGTGACCAAACACCCTGGTTTGCCTGGATTTCAGTTTCCCAGATTTAGCATTAAAGTCCTGTCCTGGGAAAATGATCAGTCCCACAAAGCAAACTGAAGCCACTGGTCACCCTCCACCAGGCCCCCTGGGAAGTTTGGGAGCATAGATTGCCCAATGGAGGAGTCCTATTTTCAGTAAAAATGACCGGCCACTTGTCCTACCACCTTGCCTGGGGTCACCCCCAAAATAGTGTGACTTCTTTTACTTCTGGCAGGAACCACTCAAGAGATTATGGCCATGGCTTAAAAGCTGAAGTGGATCCAGAGAGCTGTCATTAGCTGGAGGCTCTCAATTAACCAATGCCCTTCAGCTGGGCACGTCTCTTCTTCCAGAGTCAAACAGCATGTCTCTGTCTGTCACAAGCCCCTCTCATGCCTAGCCTAGTGGGCCACAATCTTATCTTGTTTGCAGTCATCTGGGAAACTGCAAGAGAATGGGCCGCTAGTAGGCAGTGTGCCTTTTTCCATCTTGGCATCCATGGGCACCGGGATTGTTCAGTGGATTGTGAGCTGTTATAAAGCAGAAGTTATCGTGGTTGGGACAACTAAATGTGAAGCTGTCCATTGCTGAAAAGGCTGCATTTAAATGAGGTTCTACTTAAGATACCCTTCGTGTGGCTTCAGTGAGTCTCCGTAATTCCACTTGTTTCCATATTGACTACATCACTCTTGGATGCACCCTGACTGTTCACTCACTTTCTTCCTCCTGCCAGGGAAGGGGGAGTGAGTTAGTGACAATTTTGGAATAAAGAATCTGGCTTGTGTATTGGGCTCAGGGAGGCATGTGGTCACCTAACTGTCCCTGACAGAGGAAAGGTCTAGCTAATATAGAAGATGAGTGCAGGTGCATTACTGCTATCGGTCAAGTCACATTCTCCAAGCAGCTTTATCAAACATTGAAGGGATTCTTTTTATCTATCTGATTTCTATCTAGATCTGTATTCCCAACTCAGGTAGGGAACAGAGGGCCATGATTCACTGGACATTCCCCAAAACCCAACATTCCAGAGCAACATTGATACAGGAAATAATACTGAAGATGAAATATGAGGTATTATATCTCCCAGCCTATTAGATGTCTGATCTAACGCTGAACTCTTGTTCTCTAAAGATCAAAGAATGAATTCTAGGAACAGCAGAGGTTAAGAGTAGGAAGATATTTATTGATAGGAAAGCTCCTGAGAGGTAGGAGAGGACCTGAGTGGGTAGCTGGGGACCCCACTTTACAGAGGAGTTTTATAGATAAAACCCCATGTGGGTACAACGTGGGCCACAGCCATGATCAACCAATATGATTACAAGTCTAGTCACTTAGGTAATGGTGGTCCAATTGGGGAACAAGTCACATAACAAGCGTGGATGAAAAGAACAAAGATTCTCCTAGGAAGTGGTGGGTCCAGAGGTCTCTGGCCACCTACTGGGGTGGCTGATGTCTATCTAGACTTCATTAGGCCCAGTGTTTGTCCTTTGAGGAAGTATTCAGGTCTTGTCATCTTGTCTTTATCTTGAGGCCCAGCCTCCAACAGATGTGTCTTCGGCTGCAGTTGTGGTGTGCTTCACCTTTGTCCTGACTCTCTAGAGGATCCAGCCCTATCTGACTGCCTGTAGTATTTCTACCTAACTCAGCTGTCTATAATAATACCACAGTCCTGATTCTGTGTGCTCATGTTTGCTTTCATTCTAAACAATTACAAAAGAACATAAAAGTTCCATTTTCCTCTAGTTTCTTCTCTATTCATTAGCCAGGTGAAACATTTTTATTCCTAGCTTAGAATGTAGGTCAGACAAGGAATTAGTTTTTTTATTAAAAGTGTGTGAACATCTTCAGCCAAAGATACATATAACTAAAGGCATTCCTAATAAATTTGTTAAAGATAAGATGGTAACTATGGCTTCTGTCTGCATTTTCTGACAGGTAACAATCATAAATACCACTAATTCTCTGAGTAGAGGTGATTCACTCATGCATGATTCAGAAATCAGAGTGAACGGCTTACTGTCATCTCTTTTGGGAGCCTTATGTTCCTAGATGCAAAATACCATAGGAACTATTGAGCTACTATTTCAAGCTCTCCATTTGGAAAACAAAAGATATTATAAAACCTTTCTTCTACAGTCTTGCCAAAAAAAATCATTTGAATCTAAATCTAATTAAACCTCCAGATTTGTGTGCCCATTTTCAAGAAATATGGGGACAGACGAATCTGTTAAATGATGCCTTGGAGATAACATCAGCCCAATTCTTTTTTTGTTTGTTTGTTTTGTTTTTGTTTTGGTACCGGGGATCGAACTCAGGACTTTACACTTGTGAGGCAGGCAGTGGCACCACTGAGCTAAATCCCCAGCTCCATCAGCCCAATTCTGAAATGGAAAGTTCTATAGCAATCATACCCCATTTTTTTCAACAAATACATATCATTAAAAATCAGAAAGCATAGTTACAGATGGACCAATATGTGGAAGACATAACCCAATGCAATGTGTGGATTCTTTTTTAATTTTCATCCAAAGCAAAAAACTATGGAAAGGTATTATTGAGACTACAGAAGAAAACCCAACATAGATATAGTATTGCTGATACCAAGGAATCACTTTAATGTGTTGAATGAGACAATGGCATTGTAGTTATGTATTCTTGAGAGACTGTTTATTGAAGACTTATAGTAAAATATTTCAGTGGAATGATATATTTAGGGTTTGCTTTAAAATATTGATACATTCACGTATTGTTTGTGTAATTAAAGTAAGTAAACATATATTGCAAATAACTGTGATAAAAATATTCATAACATACCAAAGAAATGAAAGCAATCCTAATTACTAAGCCCTTGTCTTGTACACACCAGGGAATGACATCTATGTTATCGCATTTATGGTCCAGATAACCCCAATATGTGGGCTTTATTATCTCCATTCTGCAGATGAGAAATTGAAGTTTATGAGGTGGTGGAATGAACATTAAATTTAGGTCAAATGCTTTTCAAGATCCCACAGCCTTTTGAGAAGGAAGTGCGGGGAAATCCTTTCTAGAGGCAGAGAAACAGACTGGGCCTTTCTCAAATGCATATAGAATATACTGACTGTTTCCTGCAAGTCTAATGGTTCCAGAAAATTTCAGTGTATTTCCTCTTCTGGTTTAGACTGCTTTGCCTCAGTCTCCCAGCACAGGAAAATTCCAGTTTTGGAATGGTGGTTGAACTAGAGTACATACCCTGCCTAACCCAATTAATGAATTTCCTGGCCAGTTACTTAAGAGTTTCTCTTCTTATTAAACATTTAACCAGAAAAGAAGAAAGAATGTAGTTAGTGAAGGGTTGATGCTAAAAATGAGAGATCTTGATGTCAGAGAAGTGATCAGGGAAGCCACAGCTTAACCATAAAGGAGATGGATAAGCAGAGTAGATGACTTAGAGGAAGAGGAAGGATGAGTCAGAGGAAAAGGAACTGAGACAACGTAGCTCTCAGTCATCCATAGGGTTCTTGTCTTCCTGCTCATGAACTAGTTTTGAGTGTACACTAGATCTCCTGCTGTAATACTTTAATTCTCTCATCCCCTTTTCCTTTGAGTTAGTTTGAGTGGATTCTGTTCCGTTAAATACAAAAAGCCTTATCTAGAACAATTAGATATGAATGCCCTTTAAAATTGTCACCAGATGTATTTCCAGGACCCTTTCACGTATATCCTCCCCAGCTTGCTGCCCCCTGAAAGAATGATCTCAAGGGATACACAGTTTTAAAGATCTCTATTCCTTCCTTCCTGCTCAAGCCCAGAGTTTCTACTTGTCTGAATCAAATCCTTCCAAATTCCAGCCTAAATATCATCTTGATGAAACTTTTGCTAACCAATACCAATATAGGTGTCAAGCATTCCCATCCTGTCTAAATTTTATGGCAGGAGTATCAACTCTTATCC